CTCACTAGGATGAGGACTAACGGGAACTAACCAGAGCTGACTAGGATGAGGACCACCCTGGCCCAGGACTAAGATCCGTGTGGACCCTGTGATGTGTGCCAGCTCTGAGCCGAGATGAACTCCTTTGAGGTGACAGTTGTGATTCGGTGCTTTATAAATAAAGCTGAATTGAATTGGTTAGAGCAAACGGATGCCGACGCCATATAAACAGGAAGTACTCCTGCTTTTTGCTGGCCCTCCTCGCAGGTATCAATCGATCTAATTGGATCTGAGCTCCAGCCTAATGCAGTGTAATGATATGTAACATAATGTCGGCTGATGCAATTTGGAGTGCTCTAATCTGATGTGCGGTCCAGCTCCTCGCCGCTTGCCATCGCTGTGACCTCCAGCTCTCAGCTCGGCAGCCAGCCAGACTGCAGACACACACTCTGCAGAAACCAGGGCCGGCGTCCAAGCTGCTCTTGGGTCAGCACAAAAACGCAGCCCTACAAATCCCACGATGCACCTCTCTCTGAGCCTCACAGTTACTGCGGGTTCAAGAGGGCGTGGCCTCACACTAATGGTGACCATGTGATTTATGCCACTACCTGCTGTGATGTCATCCAGTGTTAAACAACACCGGATCATCCGTGTGTGTGTCGGTTACGTTTCTTCAATCATCCATCGGTAACTGATAGAAACATGTTTGTGTATGACGTCATTATTGATCATGTGAAACCACGAGGATTAAAAGGCTTCAACGAACCTGCGAGTCTGCGCTGAGATGGGTGTTGCTGTTCAGCTCCATGAAATCATTACCAACGTGCTGCTGTCATACATTAACCTGCACACGCACGCTGCCGTGTATATAGACACACACATGTTCAGCGTGTGTGTTTATATACACGGTGCCGTGTATATAAACACACACATGTTCAGTGTGAGTGTTTATATACACGGTGCCGTGTATATAAACACACACCGTGTATATAAACACACACATGTTCAGCGTGTGTGTTTATATACACGCTGCCGTGTATATAAACACACACGCTGAACATGTGTGTGTCTCTGCAGTCTGAACCCAGTCGATGAGCTAGTGTTAACCTGCACCGTTATTCTGCAGTGTGTGTGTGTGTGTGTGTGTGTTTCTGACCCCGGTCGATGAGCTTGTCGATGTCCGGGTCCAGCCCCTTGAAGTAGCACTTCCTCCACAGGCCGGAGTGGGTGGAGAACAGCGGCCTGCCGCACTCCGTCTCCAGGATGCCCATCCCCAGGATGGCCCGCCAGTTCTCCAGCAGCTCTTCCTCCCTGCTGCCCACATGCACGGGCTTCATGAGCGCCACGTCCCGGTGCCGGGGCCCGCTGTCCACCAGCGGCAGGTGGTAGATGGGCATCTCGCGGTTCTTCTGGTCGTTGGAGTCGGAGCCGTGCCGGTCGCAGTTCTCCTTGTGCCTGCGCGTGTCCGTCTCGTACCAGTGGTCGGTGGAGATGGCGGTGACGAGCAGCAGCAGCGACAGCACGCTGAGCGCGAGGCTCACCGCGGACACCGTCACCGTAGCCGGTCGGGCTCGCTCCATGGTCGGGACATGGACTGGGGTGGTCCCGGAGCCCCTGTCCGCTCGATTCCCGCCGCTGTTCCCGTTACTGGGCATCTTCTGCTGCCATCCTCCAGATCAGCCGTTCCCCGTTTGCCCTCGAGAGCGCGTTGTCATGCCGACTGACCGTCAGAGATGCGTCAAGGTGGAGGCAGGTAACCCCCTCAGAACCGGAAGTCCCCGGAGAGCGCCTTCAGAATAAAACGTTTGTCTCCGCAGGAGGAGGACAATAATAATAATGACGATGAAAATGTTGAAAATAATAACAACAACAACCAGGCTGAAATGTTAAACAGCGGAAAGCTTTGCCTGAGACGGTGAGCTGCTGCAACATGCAGAAATATTCAAAGCGAGATTCATCTGTGCGTGATGCTGCGCTGCTTTAGCGCGCAGACGTTTAGGAGCTTAACGTCCTGCCTTCAAAAGTTCATTTTGTTCGTTTTAGCAGAATGAAAACAGCCGATTCTCGTATTTGCTCCTGCACTTTACGCCAATCACTCACGTCAAACTGTCACCAAAACTTTATTTTGAAAGTACAAGCCGGAAATGCTTAGAGTTGCGGGTTTTGTTGTCCTGCAGCTCAGCGCACACGAACACATGATGAACACATGATGAACACATGAACCTCCTCCCTGATTGGCTCGTTTCTGCGGCTACACCGGTCTTTGCCGCGGAAATGTTGCCATAGAAACAGCATCAGCAGGTTTATGTTTTAGGACGGAGTGAAAAACGATCCGAGCAGAGTTTTACATTGAAATCAGACAGGAAGCATCGTGTGACGTCACGGCAGGGGCCCTGACTGCTGAGCTGGGTGCGGACTGATCAGAGGTATTGATCAGGATGTTTCTCCTGAGGCGTTCACTGACCTCAACTCTGTTGCTGGGCTCCATGCTGCGTTCAGAGTCCGCTCACAGCGTCAGACCGCTCTGAAAGGACGCGAGGTCACATGTACCAGAGATAGCTTCTGTGAACGGTGCTCGGTGACAGTGGGGAGGAAGAACGACCTCTAAACAGGAAGACATGCCCAGCACGACCAGGGAGGAGAGAGAGATGCAAACAAACTCCAGCAGCTTTGTCCTCTTTTTTTTTCTTGCAAATATTTTTATTAAAAAAAGAAAACAACACAATACTTGCACTTACCAAAATACAATTAACCTTTCTTCATTTTCCTGAGTAAATATACTTATATATGAAAAAACAACAAAAACACTCTAAAACAAAGAAGATTCTCAGCATACAGAGAGGTCTCCAAAGTTCATCTGGACGTTTTCAGTGGGAGAAACGTTTCGTCATCATCAGGTGACGTCTTCAGTCTCAGCTGACTGCAGGTTTCAATCTTATCAACAGGACATTTGCATAATGACTGAAACCAGCCCACTGAAGGAACAATGGGCTGTGAGTTCAGGTCCTTAATCTTAATTATGCAAATTCTCATGACCATTGATCAGTAACCACTGATCAATAACCATTAGTCCCATTCACAGAGAGTTGGGGAATGGCTGCAATCACAGCATTGTAAGATGGTGACAGATGTACCCTTAGACCCCCTCCTCGATTCAGAGATGGTCTTGACTCCGCCCTCAAACCAGCGCTCCTCCCTGTCCAGGATGTTACATCATCACTGAAAGATGAGGATGTTCAGTGAGCTGGTTTCAGTCTTTGTGCAAATGTCCTGTTGATAAGATTGAAACCTGCAGTCAGCTGAGACTGAAGACGTCACCTGATGACGAAACGTTTCTACGTCCAGATGAACAGAATCAACTGTTGGAGATTTACTTACCTGGATGTTGAGCATCCAGACGTTTACAGACAGGGTTTTATGGGTAAAGAGGACTAGAGCAAAGCTGGTATAGAAGTCCCCTTACATGATGATAGCTCCAGTTTACACCACGAGGAACCAGAAGATTTTAGCCAGTAGCAAAGTTCATGGATGCGGGTCCTCTGCCTCTTTAACCACCTGAGTGACGTTCCTTCGCTTGCCTTTGATTGGGAGATTTTCTCCCAGCTCCTCGTAGATCTTCAGGGTTCTCCTCTGGCTTTCTTGTGAGATTTGAGAGCTCCTCGTGGTTTTCCACCATCACGCCTGCTGCCAGCTTCATTCATTGATTATTATTCCACCTGTGATTAGAATACACTTTGAGCGCTCCTTGGCTGCAGTGTGTGATGGTGTCTGCTGATGGGCGTGGCTTCATGGTGTGAAAGTCTGCTCTGACGTATTGATTATAAATGTGATTGATCTTTAAGGCCCAGCCTGTCAGACTCCGAGCAAAGGCAACTTTGAATGTCCTGACTCGTCATTATCAGTGGGCCGGGAGGAGAGCTGGCGTGTCTCCTTGGCGACCTGGTGACTGAGACCTCATGGGAAATCTCAGGTGACTGCGGCTCTCGTCCTCACAGAGTCAAAACGTGACGTGATGCAGAAAAAATGAAAACTTGTCCATTAAGGTGATCAATAATTCATCAGCGTCCCTGCTGGGCTCTGCTGTTTCCTGTAACACGACCCCGCCTCCCACTGAAGCCCCCCCACCTTGCTGTGACATCAGTGATTGGCTGTCACTGACTGTATGTAAGAGACGAACGCTGTCGCCACGACATCACTCGTGCCCTAACCTTAATCAGAATCAGAAACCTTTATCAAGCCCGGAGGAAATGATGTCGTTACAGTTCCTGTTGGAACAGTAACAAAGTAGCAATATTAAAGAACACAAAGTAGCACATCGTGTTGTTCTGACTGCAGAGGCTGCAAACAGCAGGTGTGTCGTGGGCACAGCGATGGGCGTGTTCAGAGTGTTTCCTCAAGTCACATGTGGCGAGGACATGAGGGGAAGGTTCAAATCCTGCAGATGTGTACCTGCTCACAGGCTCCTGGGCAACAGCTCTCTGACAGAGCGAGAACACTCACTGATCAATACCTGCCATTTCCCACGATCCCCAGCTCCGCCCAGCACTCTGTGTGAGTGTGTGGCTCATTAGCATTGTTAGCATCAGTCTTTCCCCCCACCTCCACCGGCCTGCTCCCCGCCATCAGAAGTTATTGATCGAGACGTCTTGAAGCTCCATCAGCTCGTATCGACTGACCGGACGAGCGCTGCCTGCCTCACCTTCAGGGGGGAGGGGGGAGTGAGAGTGGAGGGTTTGCTGGGGGATGTCACGTGGGAGGATTATTGTGAGCAGAAGTTTAATTAACACTCAGGTGGAGCAGCGGTGGCGGTGGTTCACTCTCTGAGGTGTGAATGTCATCGCTGAGGGGAAGTGCTGAAGCTGCGGCATGATGGAGGTCACGGGGAGGGGGGGTGATCGATCGGTATCAGCCCGTCCTCCGTCAGGTCCTCAGATCCTGCAGTTCACTGTCACCTTCCACCCTGCAAACTGACAAAACCACGAGCAGAGAGTCTGACTTCCTGCTTTTCTGTCACAATAAAAGTCTGTATTGATCGTCTTCATTCAAACTGAGTGTTTCAGTAGTTAATCCATGCATCCAGGTCATGGTTGTGGGATGGGGACAGCACCCTGCTCGCGCTGTCATCAGAGGTGGGAAGTATCCAAGTACAAATACTTTGTTACTGTACTTAAGTAGAATTTTCAGACATCTGCACTTGAGTAGTTTGTTTTTCTGACAGCATCTCTGACTTTCACTGCTTATGTTTGTAAACAAATATCTGAACTTCCTCCTCCTGATGTTTTCAAAACAGCTCATTACTTTTGGTTTAACATGTTTGAGGGGAATTCAATTTTAATTTTATTTATACAGCACCAAATCACAACAGTTGCCTCAAGGTAGACCACACCCCCCTATGACCAAGCACTTTGGCGACAGCGGGAAGGAAAAACTCCCTTTTAACAGGAAGAAACCTCCAGCAGACTCAGGGAGGGGCGGGGCCATCTGCTGCTATGGGTTGGGGTGATAATATTTACATTTTGTGTTATAAACCTAATGTTTAATAATCCACATTTCACTGTTTTACTCTTTGGTTCAGATGTGGATACTGTATTGTTCTTTCTTTGTAAATGTTTAAGTTGTTTGTTGCTGGTTTTTAGTTTGTTTTTGTTTGTTTGGAAGCTGACACAGTCTCTATGGAGATGGGTTTTTGGGGGGGTAGCAGGAGGAGAGAAGCTGCAGAGAGGCGTGTAAGACTGCAACTCTGCTTCCTGGTCCCAACTCTGGATAGTCATGTTTTGGGGGGTTTAATAAATTTGTCCATATTTCTAGAAATGAGAGCTGCTCCATCCAAATGCCGTCTCTCCTAACAAGACCAGGTTTCCTCCAGAAGGTTTGCCAATTATCTATGAAGCCCACATCGTTTCTGGGACACCACTCAGACAGACAGCAATTTAAGGAGTCTGTCTGTCCTGGTCGTTGTGTCCTTGGGCGAGACACTTCACCTGCCGCCTACTGGTGATGGCCAGAGGGGCCGATGGCGATATATGGCAGCCTCGCTTCTGTCAGTCTGCCCCAGGGCAGCTGTGGGCTCTGTGCTTCCACAGGCCCCGCTGGTTTAGAAACGTATTCTCGTTAACGACAAGCAAGGACACAAGACGATCAGCGATCGATCTGTCGCCCCGGTCAGTGTCTCAGAAAGCCGTCTGAATCAACCGCAGAATGACCCCGGCTGAGGCGCCTTTTATTGAAAACAGTTACACACAAGCAACCACCATTGTAAACCCCCTATGGTTACAAAAGACAAGGCAGTGTGTGTGTATGTGCGTATAAGCACGTGTATGCGTGTGCGATAATGTGTGCGTGTGTTTGGGGGTGCGTTTGTGTGTCATCTCCCCTCCTATGGCTCAACTTTAATGGTTCACCATATGCGAGCACAGGCGAGCCCCCAAATGGCCGGGAGTGACCTCAGAAGATAAAGACGCCAGGATCTCACAGGTGCCTGCAGTTAAACAGCCACAGCTAGTTACTCCCCCCAGCATCAATGATGTGTAGGGGAGGAACAGAAGAACTAACCATGCAGTTTAAGGCACGGTTTACAGATGTAAGTAACACAATGACAACATTTAACAATTTGACTCCAACAGCAGCTGTGGCTACACCTGTAGCTGCCTCCACCAGCGTGTGGATGTGAGAGTGAATGAATAGTGGAATTGTAAAGCACTTTATAAATGCAATCTGTTATTATTATTATTATTATT